TACCGCACATTTCAATCGCCTGTTCCACCACATGCTCGATAACGGTATTTACCTGCCTCCCTCGGCTTTTGAAACCTGGTTTATTTCCCAGGCAATTTCCCGGTCAGATGTAGACCGCACGCTGGCTGTGTTTGATGATTTTTGCAAGCAGTTTAAAGACGCGGATCCCGCCTGATCCCGGTATGTTTTATAAAGTGCGGTTGCCTAACTTTAGCCGCAAAGTTGGCCGCGCTGCATGTTTCGTTATTACAATATTCATACTCATTCAAGGATTGCTGGAGACGATAGCCTGGCGATTGTGAATGCGCACAATCATTTTGAAGCGATGCACGAAGTGCCTACTTGCAGTATGGGGCTGCATCCCTGGTACCTGGATAATGCACAAGAGCAAATGATGGTACTGGACACCTATGCCCGCTCCGCCAATGTGCTGGCAATAGGGGAGTGCGGGCTGGATCGTGCCCAAGGGGCGCCCTGGGACCAGCAGCTTTCTTTTTTTGAACAACAGATCATTTTGGCTATGCGCCTGCAAAAGCCGCTCATTATCCATTGTGTGCGGGCGCATGATGAAGTGCTCCGTTTATTGGCAGGTCATAAGGTCAACGTCCCGGTTGTGTTTCACGGATTTAATGGGCGGGACACGATTGCGGAACGAATATTAAACGCCGGTTGTTACCTTTCCTTTGGTGTTGCTTTGCTCCGGCCAACCGCTCCTGCGGCTGTTTTGCTTTCCCATATTTCTGCCGGTCGGTTTTTCCTGGAGACCGATGCTGCCACTGTTTCTATTAAAGACTTGTACCGGATTGCCGCACAAATTCGGAAAACGGAGGAAGAAGCGATTATTTTGCAGCTGCAACAGAATTTTAAAAACGTTTTCGGAGTATGATGACAGATACGGCATGGCTTTCCCGTACGGAACTGCTTATAGGTAAGGAGAAGCTAAATAAATTGATGAATGCACATGTATTGGTGGTAGGCATGGGCGGGGTAGGCTCCTTTGCAGCAGAATTTATTTGCCGGTCGGGCGTAGGAGAGATGACCGTTATTGACGGAGATGTAGTAGATCCCAGCAACCGCAACCGCCAGCTTCCTGCACTCGCAACAACCCACGGACAAAGCAAGGCCGATATTATGGGTGAGCGCCTGATGGCCATTAACCCGGAGTTAAAGCTGCATATTGTCAAAGAGTTTATCCGCCC